CGTTACGCTCGAGATTCTGCACGTGTACGATCGATGATATCATAATTGATAATTGATTGTCTACGTGCATTTAGCTTTCGCGATTTAGTCTTTTTTTTTTTCTTTTTTTCTTTGATTTGCGATTAGTGAGTCTCGAGCCTAGATTTAAGTTTCAGCGGGCATTGCGCCCGAAGGAGGAAGACCGAAGAGGCCTCGACAAACTGTCCCGAAGAGGGGCTGCAACGAACGGCTTCTCATCTTTTGGATCTGTTTTTTGGGTCCAAAGGATGGGAAGTCATTGTTACTATTTTGTCATTGTGCTCGTTTTAGTATATGTAGTAATTGTTGTTGTGTTGTCTGGCCAATTGCATGCTGGCCCATCGAATCTACTCAGGGGCAATTCGCGATTTTGCATTAGTGTTGCGATGAATAAATTTCGCGTTTGTATTAGTGTTGCGTTAAATAAGAGTCGCGTTTGAAATTAGTGTTTTGATAAAATGATGATCATGTTTGTTGTAGTGTTGCGTTGTAAAAGATATTGCGATTGCTTTTAATTATTTTGTTTATCAATTAATCTTTATAATAAAAATAAAATTTTTTATTTTTATTTTTTTTTGTTCATTTAAACTTGAATTTATCCTGTAGTTTTAATATCGGATATTTGAAGTATCTTTTTATTGATAATAATAATAAATTTTGTATTAAATTCATTTTGAAAATTAGTGTTGCGTTAATAAATAATCGTGTTGTTTAAAGTAGTGTTGCGTTTATAAATAATCGCGTTTTTCATAATAGTATTGCGTTTATACATTGCCTATACTTCTTCCATTTGGATTGTGGAAGTATGTTCCTGCTTATGAATCATCCAGTGCAATCAAAAGAGTTGCACAAAGATGGTTATACAACGGCAGCCTCTAATATGGCTGCAATCTTCCGCTTTTAGTGTTGCGTAATAAAATATGAGTGCGTATAATAAAATTAGTTCATTCGAATTTCGTAAATAGTTGAAACATCTTATTGAAGATGTATGCTTCCGCGTTGTTTGTCTTTTTCATTTTTTTTTATTGATTAAAAATTTTTAAAAACTTTGAAGATAATAAAGCACTCGTCGCGTTTTTTTTTGAAACTTTTGAATATATTAGTGTTGCGAGATAAAAAATTCCACTCACGGTTTGTTCGGATTTACATTGAATGGAAAATTATTTTGATAATCCTTCTGATTATCCTTTTGTTGTATCTTTTTGTTGTATTTTTCTTTTCAGCACCCCCTTATAAGAGCATTTGTTATTGAAAATACTGTTAAAAAAAATTTATTTTAAATTGACGATTTTTCATTTTAAATTATTATAAATCATTTAAATATAATAATAAAATATTTTAATATTTTTTCAGTGTAAATTATTTTTTAATCACTAATCGAGTTATTAAGTTTGTTACAGGTCCGAATTGAAGAAAATAAGTGGAAGAAAAAAGGTATAATTACAAAAATATATATAATTTTTACTTTGGAAACTAATTCTCTGATTGAGTTTCAGTTCTGTTGTATATATTTTTTAACTTTTATATTAGGTAGGATCAAATATTTAGCTATCTGATAAGATTTATAGGTGATATGTTTTATGTTTTTTCTCTTATTAAAAGAGAAATACCCTCTCTTCCACCTCGTCTTCCATTTTGGTTTTTCCATTCTCGTCTTCCACTCTCGTTTTCCATTCTGATCTTCCACTCTCGTTTTCCATTCTGATCTTCCACTCTCGTTTTTCATTCTGATCTTTCACTCTCGTTTTCCATTCTGATCTTCCATTCTCGTTTTCCATTCTGGTCTTCCACTCTCGTTTTCCACTCTCGTTTTCCATTCTGGTCTTCCACTCTCGTTTTCCATTCTGGTCTTCCACTCTCGTCTTACATTTTAGTCTTCCATTCTCGTTTTCCATTGTCGTCTTCAATTTTTATCTCTAATTCATAGTTTCCTAAAACAATTCCTATTCTTCAATCAACATGATCATAAATATTTGCCATCCTTAATTTTCTCATTACAAGTCAAATCCTCATTTATATTTTTCCTGGCCACATGTAGTTTTAAATTTATAAAAATTGTGGTATTGTTAATATAATTGTAAATTGAATTATGAAGGACATCTTTTAAATTATATAATAGGCAGGATGTAAAAAAATATTTAATTCTCATGTATATAGGAATAAGAAAAGAACTTTTAGAATAGATAGCATGTCTAAAATGTTTCAATGTTGTAAGTTTATTTTATTGTCCTTTATAGGAGTAAAAGATTGCATTATAAAAAACATTACATAAATAAAATAAATTTAGAATTAAGTGCATGTACAATGAAGAATATTAATTAAATAGATGATGTAATGTAGATATGCAGATAATTAATGATGAATGAAATGATAGTGTTTTGTGGGAAGCTTAGCTCATTTTCGTTCCTTTTTTCTACGTTTTTATCAATTATTTTTCATTTTCATAATGATGAAAATGTAAAATATTGATAAAAAGTTTCTTTTGTTAGATTTTATTTGTAAATTTAGATTTCTGCTCTAGAATTTTTTTATAGATTGCTTTTATTGTTTTATATTGTATAATTGCAT